AGTGACAGGAAAACACACCTCCGTGATGCTTCCAAAGGCCTAAAAATTAATCGGCATCTAGTTGAGAAAGTAATGTTTCTTTTTGCCATTCAAACAACATACATAAAATATTTTAATCTAAAAAACCCAACAAAATAAATTTAATTCAGTTCTTTAGTAGAACAATGCAACACTCCATCTATAACACAGCCTGAAGAGAGACAGAGGTAACAGGGGTCAGGGGTGAAGTCAAAGGCTTAAACTTAGCCTTTTGGTGACAGTGGCAATAAAACTGAAAGATCTGCAAATTAGCTGATCCTGGAGGACGGCTGGGGAGGCCACTGCCACCTTCATTGACATTCTTCCCCCACGGCAATGCTGGCCTCCTGAACCTCTGGCATTGCTCCTTGGCAAAATCAGCTCCAGGACCATCATGTTGCTAGGCACACTGCAACCGAGTTTGAGAGCTGTCAAAGGGATATTCCTACCACCAGCAGAGGCTTGGATTGAGACATACAGATCCTCAGCATCCAAACTCCAACATTAAAAAAACATAAATCAATATATTTATTTGTTTGGCTACAACTGTAGTACGGAAAGATAAATTAGTTTCATGTTGAGAACTAACTGTGAGATAGTATTAAATCTCACGCATTTCCCATCAACTCAATATCCCGTTGCAGCAACTATCTGTTGTTTATAGTTAAACCTAATTCTTCACACACAAGATGAAATAGCTAATGAAATAACTCATCATTACATTGATACACTTTTTTCAATAGCCAATTTCTAATATTGACTGGGAAGTTAGTTTACCCAAAAAAGGACCTTTTATTAGTTTCACCAAGTGCGAAAAATAAGCACGCTTATGGATGTTCAGTTGTCAAACGCTAACAAATTAAAAATAATAATAAAAACAATACAAATGCTGTTTTTAAAAGGTCTTCATAAACAGTATCTATGAAAGGTAGCTTAATAAAGAAAAACGCCCCAAACTTTTCAGTAGAGAAAGCACAAACATTCTGTACAAAAATAAACCCAGTGTGACACCTCATGCTTTACCAAGTACAATTACAAAATAGAGTCTTAAGCAGAAATGGGGGCAGGGCGGGGGGAATCTTACTATAAGACTTTTAAAAGATAGCATTGTGCTTTTCATTACTACAGTTTTCTTTCCCTTTAAAGAATAGTATTTTAAGGAGAAATTCACTAAGCCATTTCAGAAAATAAGGAAGTACATAGAACTTGGTGAATTACTCTTCTGGTAGCGCTTTTGTTGCCATTACGCAGATTCTTTTACTTTTCCTTAGGCTGAAGACATGAGGTTCCAAAACCAGTAAGGCAATCAACCTTGGCATAGCCTCTGTTACACTACAAGCGTAAGTATTCAAGAGAAATGTAATGGCACAACGGCATATCTGCACAAAGGAGCTTTACATATATCTATCTATATATATATATCTTTTGCTTACCTATTAGGCGTATCTCTTAACTTTAACTTTTTCATTTAATATTTTATATATGTTTTCTCTTCATTGCTACTTTTTTTTTTAAAGACACCTAAAGTTTAAGCAACTCCTTCAGTGTATCTGTATATGGAGAGACTTCATTATTTCATGTATTATCAACAATAACTTTTTTGTGTTGATTTCTTTTCTTAGTGCTATGTTAGGTATTTCATAAATCATACAGATCTTCAGGCACATGAAAGCGGGATATGTACTCCAGATGCCAGCTTTAAAAGTCTCATTCTTTCATCAGATTTTCATATAAGAACATGAGACTTTATATAATGACAGAATGAAAATCAAAACTGACAGATTGGGTGACTGGAATTTCTGTTGGACTTCTTAAATCCATTAAAACATCCAGCCTTGTAATTTTGGAAGAGAATTTAGCCCCAGCTGGAATCCTCAGACAGCATTTGTAAAACAATAACAAACCTCCCTCAAATACAATTTTAAATCATGAGCTTAGAAAACGCTTTCAAAAACTGAAACACTCTTTACTAAATTTAAAAATTCATGTGACTGACCACCAGGTCAAATCTTGCTGGGAAACAGCAAGAAGAAACGCAGTATTTAACGCTGCTGAGGACGTTTAATTTGACAGATTCCAAGAGACCAGGAGACTCAGATTTACAGAGAACAGGTTGAAATGTGACTTTACAGCAACTGAAATTCCGGGTCCAGGTAAGTGTTCTTGCACCAACAATGTTAAGCCAATGCTTAAGAAACAAGACAAAAAAAAAAAAAAAAAAGGGTGAAGAACCTTGGAACCTAGGATTTGTCCGCAGGATATCAGATTTCTACTACATTCTCTTCCTCCAATGACAGCCTGAGGAAAAAGGAACTCTTCAGTTCTGCCTGACAACTCCACAAGTTCAACACAACGATAGAGAGAAAGATATTGCTAACTCTGCTCTTTAGGGCAAGAAGCTGGTGGGCCGGTGAGTAAACCTTGTCCTGCAGCCTCTGAAGTGAAGCTCTCTTTCTGACCTACTGTTTGCAGGCAATAAAGCTCCAAGTTGCTGTACATCAACTCTGTTTGCTGAGGTTATACAAGCAGGGTTCAACTAAGGCACTACCGATACAAATGAGTGAGCTTGTATATTTCTACGTATTTGCAGTTACAGTACCATGCTAACGATGCATCTGTTGCCTCCAGGCTATGTTTAATAAAAGTTTTGTTCAATTTCAAGCATTTTCTAGAACTTTTCTTGAATTTCAGGAGGTGCCACAGAAACTTTTTACCAGGAATCCCAACAAAAACCAGAAGCGGTAAGCAGCCAGCTCTGGATTACAGATATAAAACTACTTTATTGATACGAAACCAGCCCTGTGAGTTGTGAGAAATGAGATATTTCCTTGTTCCTTGTCTAAGCCTTGCATGCTGAGGACCTACTAAGCAGGAAACAATGACAAAATAATGACAAAATGAAATGAATCTGAGTCGCGTTTGTAAGAAGATAAAGGGTTACACAACCTTATAGAGCAGCAGTCAGCCAAAAAGAGCCTTCTGAAATAAACAGTAACTTTTCAAAAGAAGGCAGCAGACACATTCCTGTAGACATGGAGCATTACAAGATGCGTGCAAAGAATACTACTGATTTTTCCGTAGTATCTATCAGGGCTAATTGTCAGCAACAGCTCAGCTTAGCTACAGGAATGTTTCAAGTCATATTTCAATCTGCTTTAAAGATTGTGCAATGCTAGAAACCAGTATATAAACGTTTAAGATGGCAAGTAAGCAGCTTTGAGGTTTGGATTTTAAATCGTTCACTCTTGAGTCCTAACCCAAAAGAACTTTCAAAGAAAACAGAAAGTAACATCAGGGAACTAACGCCAAGGCTGGTTTTGATATACATAATACTACTTTATTCCATTGTTTCAACTCTCTTACAGGTTTAAAAAATGTACAGGGGTTCAGAACCACCTCAACAGAACAAAGAATACATAATTAAGGGAGATCTAGAGTCAAACCACAAGTGTGCAAGCGTGGTTAGCTTCCATTACAAAAAGTGATAGGCACGATCTTTACATATGCATTTTGGTGAAAGAAGGAGTAATAGTGCAGTGTTAAAAGGCACCAATAATCAATAATTGGGCCTTTTTTAAAAGCCAATAACCATCTAAGAAAATTACATTTGGTTCAAAATAATAATTTAACTATTTTATTGATTGGCATGCATCTGAACCCCTGGCAATTTATTACACAAACCTAATGTGCACCCTTGCAAAATAAAAAATACTTCATCAGTGGACCTAAAAATCAATTCAGTACAAAAGGGAATACTGAAGCTCTTTGTCTGTGTTTAATACTAAACTGCCCTGTTCACCTCCTTCGAGAACACTTGTCTAAAAAACAGCTATTCAACAACTGCACAGAAGTATTTCTCTTAAAGCAAGTGTAATTTTTTAATCCCGTAGCATTGATCTATTCCATGTGCTATGAAAACATTAGGCACAGACCACAATTTACGATTTCTCTAAAAAAAATACAGTATGTGCAAGCTAGGTTCACACAACGTATTGACAGCTACAACAGTAAGCTATTTAGACTTCCCAAAGAAAAGGGTTAGTTAGTTTTCATTTTCTAAGCAGTGATGCACACTGCTGTGTGCAATTATCATATTTGCATTAGGACTATCTGTGTAGCCAATAAAGGAAAAGCTTTAGTACACCCTAAAGGACACTACATCGATACCGTGTGCTAATTTAACAGGATCGAGAGAATGAAAGACTGAAGAAGTCCTTGTATATGGGCAGCTGCAGTTACTCAGCCAACCAGGAAGGGCTATTGCTTTCTGCAGGAAGAATGGTTTGAAACTCAGTTTACCTTGTAGGTGCCCTCAAACTAAACCACTTGGACGCAATGGAATCTAGAAATGCACAGCATGGGAAAAAAGGAGGAATGACAGGCAGAGCTTCTGTGAAAGTTGTACCAAAATGTGCCATTTTATCCAAAAGCATCATGCCCAGCATAGATTTTATGTATTGCGGACTGTTTGTATAACTGAAAATTGTACAAGATGTGAGCAGAGACAGAGCTGGTTATTAATCTGCAATATCTACTATAGTCCTCAGGTATATAATTTACGGATAGACACTTACTGTGTTGTTGATTGTTTCCTCTTAAATATATTTAAATTCAGAAGGCTATAGTATATTCTGACACAAAGATAGTAAGACAACTTTTCTACAGAAGGGAAAATATAAGGTAGTAACTAACTTATTTATTTTATGAGGAACCTCCTCTGATGTGGTAGTTATTTCATGCCCTTTGGAAGATTTTTAGTTTTGACTTTCTTCATCGTCTCTGTCGAATTGCTCTCCTCACAATTTCACAAGAGCTATATTCAAGTTCAGTGACCCCTCTTACAGCAGCCTTTTCCTCTTCCACAATCACTTTAACTCTAACATCACAGCAAACTATTCAAGTAAACATTTATCTTCTGGCAAGTTTCCAGATACAGCAAATACTATCAAAACTCCGCATTTGATTACATGCGCCAGTTTCCTTTAAATGGAGCAGGAATTAGCCCGTTTTCTTGGTTTAGGGTCCCGTACATCCCTGTCTTTTAAACACATACAAGATGAACATATTGTCTCTGACAGTCTCCGCAGTCCCAGCCTGAAAACGCTGTTGGAGAGGCTATATATCACACAGTTGCAGAAACTATTACTTATAGCAAGCCATGTCGTTAAGAAGGAAAGCGCTGGGTTTTCCAACACCCTAGAGCTCTCCAGAAGAAAGTATATGATATAGGGGAGCCACAGCACGTAGAACACACTGGTTATCCGAAACAAGACCATGGCATAGCGGCGATCGGGGCTGTGCCCAGTCTCCCCAGCAGCATCCACTTCGTGGCTAGGAAATCGAGCTCTCCGATCATTTATCTCTTTGGTGTGCTGCCGGCAAATTTTAAAGATGTGGAAATACGTGAAACATATGACAAAGGCAGCAGGAGCATATAGTAAGCACACGATAAAGCCAGTAAAATAGGCATTACTTTGCCAGGAGGTAGCACACCATTCAAAAATATCTCCATGGTAACCAGGTTTTCCCCAACCAAAAAAGGAAGGCAAGAAGATCAGGCAAGAGTATATCCAGATCAAAATGATGCAGATTCTCAAGCGACAAGGTGTGACCAGTTGATTATAGGAGAGAGGCTTTGTTATAGCGAGATAGCGATCCACACTGATGCAAGCAAGACATGCCATAGATACGCTTTTTAGCACAGAGATGATATATCCAAAAACTTGACAAGTCAAGGACTCGTGGACACCTGTTGAGTAGTGGAGCAGTGACAAAGTAGGAACCAAGCAGCTAACTCCCACAAAAAGATCAGCATAGGCCATGGTCTGAATAAAATAGCTGGTGGTATAATGATGCAGTAGTGGAGCACAGTGAAAGACAAATATCACAGTTAAGTTACCCGCAATAATTAAAAATGTTAGCAAGACGATTACAACTGTCTCAAGGATACAGATGTCAACTGCATTGTAGTGACCAAATCCAAGAGGGCAGGAGAGATGCTCAGATATGTTCATAACACTACTGCTCATATTCAGAGTCCTCCATTCAATCCATCGGGACTGGTTCATGTTTTGTGATTAGGGAACACTGCAATCTGAGCCTTAGTGAGCAGATGACCTGCTTAACAGCAGCTAAACTCTGCTTCAGCGTCTCACGATCTCTCTTTGTAGACACTGCCAGTGCTTACATTTGAGAGGATTACAGTCCCATAGCTGTTGATGCCTCCTCAGCATCAGTGCATCACCTCTGGCACACCTTAGCTTTAAGGAAAGAAAGAAAGAAAGAAAGAAAAGAAAAAAAAAAAAAAAGCCAGAAAGAGAAAGGCCACTGATCAGCTCCTCCAGTGCTCTTCACCAATCTTTAGCAAACACAAGGCACTTCTAAAACAAACAGGTACTGTGAAATACGGAAATAAAAACGACAAAACAGACACATTCATTTTCCAGGGAAGGAGGGGGGAAATCTCTGACTGCTTATTTTCCTGAGAAAGTCGATTACTTTGGAATATAATGGGGTGAGGGGGAGGAAGGGAAGGAGGAACCTCAGTACAGCTCAGGTTTCCTGGACCAGCAGTAACTGGAGATAATCTTTTTAATGTCTCAATTTAAATCACAGACTGGCTGGAGAGTAAAGGAAAAAGTTCATCATCTAATGCTGTATTTTCTGGCTCCATTCAGGAGATGGTACTCCGTCTTATCCATGCTATTCATTGGAAAGGTAAGGAAAACATTTTTGTCAAGGTTAATTCCAATAGACTCACCACTGTTTGGGTATGAATAATGAATTTTATTTGGAGGGAGACAGGTGGGGGACAAGGCAGATTTGTCCTCTGACTCCCAAGAAAGAAAACATACATCTCACATACAATGAGGAAGATCGTGTCTATTCATTTAAAAATGGAAATAATTTAAGAATAGAATTTGGAGACTTATATCAATATCCACAATTCCTTCAAACAGTTATAGTCCATTACAATTATTAATGCCAGAAGCATAATTCAAGGTCCCCACAGACAAAAAATCAATCCTCTTGAATTTAATTTCAGCAATGGTAATTTAAAATAATCACCTTTGGAAACTCTGCCATATCTGCTACAGTGGATCGGTACACTGGAGTTCATAGGTATATCCATGATATTGCTCACCTCTGTAGCAACACCTGAATCATTTCACAAACCCCCATACAATAAGAACAGAAACTTCCATCTGCATTCTGCTGTGAAGCTAATGAAATGCTGATTTGACTAGAAAAGCTGCCATTGTTTACTACTCCATTATTCTGTTATTCAGCTTCATCTTCTATGTAGTTTTAGGGTTTCTATATTTATTAGGCGATCAGCATAATAAACAGTTTCTTTTAAAAAAATGTTCTTCTAATTGCAGGACATTACCTTGTTCATTTTACTCGCAGTTATGGAGAGAGCAAATGTTAAAAAAAAGCATCTTCTGTATTCAGTTTTAAGCAAATGCTTGATTAGTTCAGGAATCATTAGGCAGGTAATTAATTGTATACAATCTTGCTTTTTGAAAGGCCCCTAAAATGTTAAAACCATCTTTAATCCTAGAGTTCCTGAGACTAGAAGACTGGCAGTGAGAATTAACGAATCCACATAAAATGATCTCCAAGGTCATTCAGATATTACGCTGGTATTTGCTTTAAGTCTCTTTAAAAGTAGCAGAATCTCTCTGATGGTTTTGATAGTCCTTGCTATGTCTTCAGGAGGAATTCCAGATACTAGAAAAGAAAAATTTTCAACGGTGTTGCAGCAGTTTGAGAGAAAGCATTCTTTTTGGAGTGAATTTCCTGTCGTGCATCGCCACGCTGTACAAAAAGTCCTTTTGATTTTATAACATCCCAGAATATTTCCGGCTATTCATTCCCTTCGTCTACAAGCAACAGAGCACGTATAAAATTAATACTTTCTCTAATTCTCTGTTAAGCGATAGAGCGATCTTTCTCACCTACACGCATCCTTACGAGCCGCTATGCTGAACTGCTTGACAGGGGACTCCTAGTTACTGTGGTGCGGCTGGAGCCTCTGTCGCTATTTCTCTTCTTCCCCCTTGAAATGATTGCCTGCACCTGAGTCCGCTCCTCCTCCTCCTCCTCCTCCTCCTCC